CACTCATCACATCCACCTCCTCGGAGGAAGATAGATGAAGCATCTGGCTCGCTCTCTCTCTCTAGGGGGGGGAAGAAACCGCAGCACGGGCTTCCGAACACTGAGAGAGAGCCGCGGATCTAGCGGGTGAGGACCGAGAAAAGGACGAGCCCGTCTTGGATCCCTCCGCTAAATCCACCCGCGATCCCCACGACAACAGTCTATGCCGTGCCTCGGCAACAGCGGGACCGCTGCCAGCGGGATCGCGAGCCTGGCCGCTCTCATCAAACACAGCCAGGCGAGAGCGGAGCATACGCAGCGAGAGTAACTCGCAGTGATGACAATCAGCTCCTCGAAAGCTGACCGTGCATGCTCCGCTCCTAAACAAACAACACACAGATCGTGTGTATCCCCCGCTGCCAGATAGTGTGGGCAGGGAGGCACACAACGTCTGTAATGCCGTTTGCTCGCCATAGATATTAGTTTAGACTTTGATATATTCTTTTGAATGCTTGTGGACTGACAGACAACAGTAAATAGACTGACACATACACAGAGTGCTACTGAAGAGCAGAAGCTAACTTGTGCTGTGCCGGATGCGCTTTTATACTTCCTGGCGCTCATGTCACCCCGCTCATGACGTCTCGCTGCTCCATTGGACTGATTTCACACGTGCTTCAGAACGCGGTCACGCAGGGGCGTTCCCAAAGCGATCTCGGCGCAGCTCGAGTTCCTGAAGGGGAATCGACAATTTTGACCCATACAATGTATTTTTGGCTATTTCTACAAATATACCTGTGCTACTTATGACTGGTTTTGTGGTCCAGGGTCACATATATGATATTAAGGGACAGTTGCCATTTACCACATTTAGCATGGATGAGATTAGACTGCTTGTTGTGACAGCGTTTCTCTACAGTCGAGTACAACGGACATTAAACACCCTGGTCAGCATAACAGAGAGATATCAAGACCGGGTCATTGCCTCAAATGTGACTCGGGCCATGTCACCCAGCTGAGATGAAGCAGATTGCCTTTTTAGTGTTATGTGTCTCCCTTTGGAATAAACAATGCTCGATTTTTCAGTCTAGGAGCAGTGGCCGGGCCAGAGAGAAATGGAGAGAGCCTCCTACAGAGATAAATTGCTTACATTCGAACATTACTCTTGCTTTTATCCGTTTTGGGGATGCTGTCAGGCCAGATACATTTTTATTCTAATTCAACTTGGCACGTTCCAGTGGCTGGCAAAGGGCCAAATGAGGTTCCACTACATGCCGACATCTTCTGTATCTAATGTCCTGACAACATGTCAGATTTCAAGATGGCAAAATTCCGAGTCTCAACGGTCTGGTGCGCTCCGTTTGCGAGCGTGAGTTCTTGGGGGAAAGGTTAGGCCGAAACAGCCCTCGCTGAAGAAACGTTCATAACCTCCTCCTGCTGGATCAACTCGGAATGCGTGCTGGAGATATCAAGCAGGATTATGAGACTTTATTGAAGTCAATCACTCCGTCTAGACCCCCTTTTGCTCTAATATGCGGAGGAGGCTCATTCTTATACAGCAGTGTGTGGAAGGCAGGAGATACTTCAACCATGCTGTAGTTGGAAGACAAGAGTGATGTGTTGATCTTTGGCCCTAGCCTGAGGCGCTCACCGATTTTTGCGTATAGAACTGCAAATCCGTGAATAAATAACAGCTATGTTGCGAGTGAAACAGCCGAAGAGGGTCAACCCTCTCATAAAAGGTCAGCCTTAATAAATGGCTGCAATGATGCTCAACTTTGTTGGAGGTCATATCAATTACCACAGCAATCATTTAATGTCCATGCTGGTTTTAGCTGGTCAAGTGGGTGTTCAGCTGGTTTTAGCTGGTTGGTTAGCTGGTCTCCCAGCTAAAGAAGATGTTAAAACCTCTCTAAAACCAGCCTGCAAACCAGCTATGACCAGGCTGGAAGACCAGCTACACCGAGCCAACCAGCTTGTTTGCACTTAAGATTGAGCAGTAGCATTGCTACAACTATAGCTAAGCTTATTAACTACCTTTCTCAGTATCGAGGTGGTAGTGTCATTAGTTTATAGGTAATTTAATGTTTCATTAGTAAAGCTGTTTTATTGACTGGAGTTGCTGGGTAGCATTGACAGACTCTTCATTACATTTTCCCTGACAATATATTAGAAATCAAGTTGGGTGTCCATTTGTTGGTTGTATAGAGCTGATTACCAATTAGCAAATGAACAAATGTGTATTAGATCAAATTACATATGAGTATTTGTAATATTCCATATTTATTAAAACTATGAAGTAGCTTAAATGTAAGAAGCTACTTTCACCATGTAGCTTGTAGCTAGCTAGTCATCTTCTCTAAATGATAACTTTCAGTTTACCTTAGCCAATTAATTGGTGGAAGTTGGATCGGTAGCTTTGCTAGCTACATTTTGCTTTGCTTTGCTTACGATTTGCAGCTTTCCCAAAACTGGTAGAGAGAAGAAACTTCATGAGTTGCGGTTTCAGTCAAATTGGTCATGCACCACAGGAAGGTTGAATTCGAATGACAGGAAAAGAAGTTTACTAAATTGTCAGTCTATTGAATATCTGTCTGTCTTGCTAAACACCTTCGCACTTGAAAGATTTAAAAACATTTTTCAAAAGGTTTTATTAAGCCAATATTCAAAGTTTGACAAACTTTGATTTTGTAGCTAAAGTTATTTTTTATCAATTTATTTGAATTTAAGATTGTTTTAATTCCATTTTCTTTAATTTCTTTTTCTGTGGTATTTACTGTACCACAGTTCAAATGAAGGAATTTAATAAAAATATTTAAAAAGTTCAAATCTGATTGGTGCACAACCCTAAAATTGAGCTGGTAAATTTGTAAAGGAAGGTTGTAGTGTCTTTGCACATGTTCATTTTATCAAAGCTAAGTCCATATTGATCTATCTATTAGAGCCACTTTTGGGAAGCTACTCAAAATTCATGTCGCCAACTGCTGTTTTTTCCACTCAAGTCCCATCAGGTAATTCAAATTGATTTTGCATTTCCCCTCACTCAGTATTTCATTTACACTCACCTGTCTCACTTTGAATTGGATTAAATAAGTGTTATTTTATCTAAAGATCACTGCCTGCCTAACAGACCTCGGAGTTCTCACGTGGCGTACCTCTCACATTTTAATCAGTAAAAACAAACTACGAGCTGCGAATGCTCATGAGCGAATACCCTCGTCTTTTGAACAAATTCATTTAACGTAATGTAGATTACTACATTCCCTAATGATCCGAAACAGGATGAGACCTGTGTTTATTTAACCAAAATTTGCTTTATGTTTAAAGACAACCCCCTGTGCCGGCTGCGATTTTGCTGGGGAATCTGTTTCATTGTTTTATAATCACATACCGCTATTTCAATAAGTGTTAGCTAATGAACCAGGGAGCGAGCCACCCTCACAAACTCCCACACAGGGTTCCTGTTTCCACTGCGAAATGCATCGTCTGCCTGCACCGCTTCTTTGGCAGAGTCCAGATTTGTGGAGACTGAATGTTTTAAGGAACACCCATCGGAGAATTAATTACAGAGAAAATCTCCCACTTACGCTTTTATGGGCCAATTAACCACACATATGCAAATATGTATTTGGTTAGTTGGTTGTAGGGGGGTCAAAAGGTTAATTTTAAAGGTTAAAATAGGTCTTTCAAACACCCTCTTCCTGTCTCTTTCACAGTATGCAGTCTGGTTGGTGCTGTGGGTTGCCTGGAACGTCTTCATCATCTGTTTCTATTTGGAAGTGGGTGACCTTTCAAAGGTAACATCTGATTTCGTACTTCTTTTGCAATGTGTAATCCCTCAGCTTGGCTATAAGTGTTTTCTGTTTATGTCTAAGCTTTTAAAGAGTGGCTTTTTAATAAATATGTTGCAGATCATCAACTTGCATTAGTAGTAAGGTCAGGAAAAGCATTTATTGTGTGTTCCAATCTGCAGACTGCCCCCGAATTTCAGCAATAGCATCAACTTATCCAAACTGTAAAGCGGAGCAAAAGTTGCATAGTGTATTCCAGCCTTTAGCAAACTCATAGCAATGTGACAACTGCTCAGAACACCCCAGCAACTGCATATAACAAAATGACAACCATTTAGAACATAGATATGTATAGCTGCCCTATTCGACCACTCCAGATACGTTGACGTGTCCGCCATTTTGGAACGGTCAACTTGACGTCATTCACCATAATAATCAATGAATATTCAAAGATGTACATGCGTATAACTTGCTGTTATAGATGCACACAGTCAACTTGCGCTAGAGGGTTCGCAGACCGTTCCTAAACTGGCGGATGGCTTATGTATCACGGCCCATAGAAACAGTCGCTAATGAGGCATCTACATATACAGTATATATCTATGATTGAGAAGACGTTAGCAACCACATATGTAGCAACACAATGAAAACCTCTAAAAACACCCCAGCCATTTCATAGATACGCAATAAAAACCATTCAGAACATCAGCAGCGCAGTGGCAACCACTCAGAACACCTTAGCAACCGCATATGTGACAAATCAATGACACCCATTCAGAACACCCCAGCAACCACATAGAAACACAGTAACAACAATTCTAAACACCCCAGCAACCGTAAACATAGAAACACAATAACAACCATTCAGAACACCCCAGCAACCACATAGCAACACAATGACAACCACTCAGAATACCCCATCAACCGTAAACATAGAAACACAATAACAACCTCTCAGAACACCCTAGTGACTGCACAGGAACGCAATAAAAAACATTCAGAACATCTTTGCAACCCTGCAGCAACACAATAACAACCATTCACAACACCCCAGCAACCACATAGAAACACAATAACAACTACTCAGAACACCCCAGCAACTGGATAGAAACACAATAACAACTATTCAGAACACCCCAGCAACCGTAAACATAGCAAAGCAATGACAACCATACAGAACACCCCAGCAACTGCATAGCAACACAATGACAACCAATCAGAACACCCCAGCACCCGCATAGCAACGCAATGACAACCAATAAGAACACTCTAGCAGCAACATAGCAATGGATTAACAGCCACTCAGAAAACCTTAGCAACCAGATGTTGCAATGCAATGACAACCACTCAGAACACCCTAGTGACTGCATAGCAATGTAGTAACAACTATTCACAATGGCATAGCAAATACATAGTGATGTGTTGGCGCCCATCCACAACTATCTTAGTGGTGAGTTTTACACAGGAAGACACCACTCACTTTTTCCCCCAAAATTGTAAACATCTAGTTCTTGCATGTAAGATATTTCTCTCTCCCCTCTATCTTCCCATCTTTGCTTCTTTCATTTCAGCGAATAATTTATTAAATAGTCCATCGTCTGCTCATGTGTGTAGAAATAGCGAGCAAATATGTAATTAAAATGTCAAATACTGTACCCAATTAAGTGGCAAACCAGTCATGAAACTTGATTACCAGATCCATGGAGCACTTCATATGTATTACTTTTTTATCCCGATTCCACATCAGCAGATGAGACTCCTACTTTCATTCTGATTTCAGTTCAGTGTCCGTCCAGGGCTTTCAGGCCACTGGTCATGTGACAGCAGGCCAAAGATTATCACTGCCCTAGTCAGTATGCAAAGCATATGTGTACTCTTCCATGGCTTTGTGTATTTGATTACATCATTGGTCATAAGATTTGTGAAGCATTGCAGGGCAAGTGTGCTGATGTTTTATAAGGTGGACAGAAGTGATGTAGTGTATCGCTGATGAAAAAAACGCAGAGGCAAATGTCTGTACTCCTTTCCTCGGGCTCAGATCTGTAATGGAGATTGATCCTTTAATCTTTAAATCACCTAGAAATGTCTGGCAGTCAATCTGGTCTTCTGGTTGATACGTCATTAATGTGCAATCTTATCAAGCATATCAGATGACAGAATGAACATTTCACTTTAGATCTGTTGGTGCTTTGCAAGAAACGGTGTCAAAGATGTCAGACGGATCACCGGCTCCAGCTATCATTTCTCTCTTATAGCCTCTTACGCCATCAGGTTCTGATGTGTCACACATCACGGTTTTTATATTAGCGAAGCCATGGCTTACAAGATCAGCATTGCAAAGAGGGTTATATTAGGTTGGATTCCTTGTTGTATGCCTCCGTTTCTTTTTTATTTCATTTTTGGACTTTTTGCTGAGAGCATAACTTTGCATTATGTGCACGGTATCTGCACCTTGAGTCCTAGTTTAGAAAAATTCCCACGGTAAAGGATGTTAATAGGGATTAGAAAAAGGAAGGTAAGGAAAAGGGGGAAAAAAGGCTTCATTTTAAAACAAAAATAGGCCGTGAGAGAGATGTGAGTGAGGATTTATCAAAAGAATTCCGGTGGAATAATTTGTGGGATATTGTCTATTAAATCCAATGACCATATTGCAAGGCCAGTGCCTGTTGTGAGAATAGAATAGAATAGAAAATAGATAGAACCTCTACTGAAAGTGAATGATTTAAAATATAGCAAATATTAACTCTCACGGGAGACTCCCATTACAATAAATTCCAATAGAGATGTTGCCAAGCGAACACTGAAATTTCCCTCATCTTTCTACTGTTTTGTGAACATTCATTTGTTGCTTTATTTAAAGGGATAGTTCACCAAAAACTTAAACTTCTGTCATCATTAACGCACTCTCGTGTCATTCCAAAGGTTAGAATTTAGTATATTTAATATAATTTTAGTATTATTTATATTATAGTATTTACTAATATTTTCAATTATTTTGGTTTAGTTTGGTTTTTATTTGAATTTTAATTCAGGTTTTAGTGAATTTTGTTTTCTTTGTTTTTGTTTTCTATATTTGCTTTTGTCATTTTTATTGTTTCTTTGTTATTTTAAATATTTATACTTAGCTTTCATGCCCCACTCAGTTCAACGAAAAATGTAAAATCTGTCATTATTTATTCATTCTTGTGTCATTCCAAATTTGTTAGAATTTAGTATATTTAATAAAATTGTTGTATTATTTATGTTATAGTATTTATTACTATTTTGAATTCTTTCATTTTGATATTTTTGGTTTTTATTGTTCATTTTGATATTTTTGGTTTTTATTTACATTTTTTTTAATGATTTTGATATGTTTGCTTTTGTTGTTTTGATTAGTTTTGTTATTTTAAATATTTCTATTTAGCTTTTTTATTTATTTACTTATATGTACTTATAACTTATTTTTTCAGTTAGGTAACATTTCTAATTTTATTTTATTTTTTTTAAAGTTAAAGTTTTTCATGTAATATTTATTTCAGATTTATTTCAATTAATGAAAATGATTTAAAAACATTTTAGTTGACAGTGACAATGCTGATCCAAACAACATTGAACCCTCTTGACTTCCATCGAACGGACAAATACAAATTCTTCAAAATATAATTTTTTTGTGATTTTTCGAATGTAAAGACTTTTCATTTTTGGGTAAACTATCCCTTTAAGACTGTTTATAGTGATCAGATTCGTTTCAGTGCTCGTGTTCACAGAACAAGCCTCAAAATGCCACCCATAAAGTGAAGCCCAGTTGATGTGGTGCAGCTTCGGTGCTGTTGGTCCGCTGGATTGGCAGTCCTGATGTGTGCTTCTGAAGCTCGTCGTCTGAGGGGCTGGCAGCCTGTCACAGCTACAGCTTTGTGGGAAAAACCGAGAGCCTCCACAACCCTCTCGAGGGCCTCTCCGTGAGTCTTCATTGCCGTTCAACGCCCTCTTCGTTTTTTAACCGGAGAATTCGCACAGATTCACATCCCACAAGGGATTTTGTCAGTCGTTGTCAGCTGGAGAAGAAAGTCACTTCGGTCTCCTTGATGTCTTTACGGTCTCTTTCGGAATAGAGAGAACTTGAAGAGGCAAACAAATGGAGTTCGTGGATCTGCCTCACAGAATCTGCTCCCTAAGTCATCAACACGGCTTTAATTCGTTAGAGAAGTTATAGGATATTATTTAGCATAATTTATTTCCTTGTGACAGTGCAGCTCATGATTAATTAATGTGCGTGTAATGTCTTTAACCAGGGGAGAATCCGCTGAGACCCGCAAAGGCAATTAGATTTAGATCACACAGAAACAAATGAAGATAAATACAAGAGACAATTCCCAGTCTCTCGTTTTTTTTAGGTCACACAGGACACATATAATTCAAGACTCACTCAGTTACTTATATCAGTAGGACGTAAAGGTGCAGGAATAGACATGTTAGATCTGTCGCAAAACCTAGTGAGCTGCCTACAGTGACAGCGTTTTAAGACATCATAGAGCGCGACATGAAAACTGGTCCAAAAGGTACCTAAACTAATTGTGCTGCCTAAAAATTCTAGGGCATTTTAATGAATCCCAGAATGTCTTTTGATAAGCTCTGTGGGGGAAAAAATCCAAGATGGCAGCTGAAATGATAATAAATAAAAACTAATAATAAATAAGTTAAATCTAATTTAAAAACACTGTTTTACCCGATATTGTGTGCTATGTATTTTTCTGCATGATATAGTATTGTGTTCTGCTTTGTGTCTTGACAGGCCGATTGTTAGCTTAGCAACATGCTAATTAGCATGTTCTCATGCTAACTCTAGAATCAGAAGACTCTAGAATCAGATTAGAAACATTTGTGTTTCCTGTGAGGAGTGCGATTTGTGTGCCCAAAGAAGTTGCTTATTTTTTATTTTATTTTTTTTTTATTTAGGGCTGCACGATAAATCGCATGCGATTGTCATGTGCATCTTGTCAGTAAATCCGGTTCTGTAATCAGTAGTAAATCTCCATCATGTGCTTTCAGATGAAGCAGCATTTACTACACAGAGACGTAGTTCACTGACAAGATACGCAAAAAAAAAAAAACGCAGGCGATATCATCGATATTATGAAATTGCGCTGCAATTTAATAACACGTTAATAACATGTTTTTACTCCAAACTCACTTCATAACGTCAATTGAGTGTTTGAAATAAATCAACATATTTCATAGTATTCCAAGCAGTGATAAAGGCTATGTTGATTAGCATTGCATTATTATATTCTTTATTATAATGAAATTTATAATAATAAAAAATCATATATTGTCTTAGTCCTGTGTTTATTAGTCACGTTGAATCAATGAAAGCAGTTAAATGTTCTGTTTATTCAGCTACTGTTCCAGGGATTTCCTGGATTTCTTCTGCGGGGTGTATTTGGAGTTTCCGCGCCAGAGTGCCCTCTGGCCTTCGGATGGAGATTTACTACTGATCACAGAACCGTGCTTCACTGACAAGATGCGCATGACAGTTGCAGCTTTTGCCTAATATCGACTGCGATATCATTGCGTTTTATCGTGACTTATCGTGCAGCCCTATTTTTATTTTCATTTTTTATTTTAGAGTTTAGATTTTTAAAGTGTGTTTTTATTTATTTTATTTTTTTTACTAAATTTATCAAAAGTGACATTTATAATGTTACAAAATTTTTTAATTTCAAATAAATGTTATTACAGTATTTTGAACTTTTGAAATAATACAAAAAAAGTTTGAGTTTCTTCATTTCTTGATTCTTGAAGGATCATGTGACACTGACTTTATTATCACAGGAATATATATATATATATATATATATTTATATTTAAAATATATTAAAATTGTAATAGTATTTTTAGTACTGGTATTTTTGATCAAATAAATGCATTATCGGTGAGCATAAGAGACTAATTTTCAAAAGCATTTAAAAATATCAATGCAATATTCCTCAAACTTTTGAATGATAGTGTGGTGTTATGGGATAGATTAGACAGAAAATTACTATATATAATTTCCAACAATGACTGACATTTGAGGTAGTTGGCCCAATGTATGTGTGCAAGCATTACCTGTTTATCCACATATTTTTAAAAATCGAAATGTGAATATTCAGGAGGTTATTGTCTGTCACAAACCCCCTCTCTATCTTCAAGTCCACATGTGCATGTTTGGAATGGGATTTGGGAGCCATTACTTGAGGATAGTGGTGCTGAGCAAAAGTGACAGCAGAGATTTTGAGGAGGTGGCCAAAGTAAATAGCACAGCAGCCTCCATCCAGTCCACTAGTTTATAAGCAAACACAGACAGTCTGGCAAGAGATGGGAGTTGCCTATTGTACCTCGCTTTGCAATCTCAAAGATGCTCCCATCCCACTGCCTGAGGGTAGATTGCACTTTCCTTGCTGCTTTTATATCGAGTTTAGTAAGCTGTGTTGTATATTATGAGCTACCTGCGTTCATATTGTCTGTACATTTAAGAGTCCCTTTTTAAGAAACATGAATCCTACAATATTAAGAAGAAGCAACAAGTGTTTTAAACGTTGATAATAAGAAAAGTTTCTTGAGCAGCAAATCAACATCAGAACGGTTCTTGAAGGATCATGTGACTCTGAATACTGTGTAATGGCTGCTAAAAATTCAGTTTTGCCAGCACAGGAATAAATTACATTTTGAAATGTATTGAAATAGAAACCATTTGTTTCAAATTTTAATCATATTTCACAATATTATGGTTTTTACTTTTATTTTTGATTAAACAAATGCAGCCTTATTAAGCAGAAGAGACTCAAAAAGTGAGAGCATAAGAATTAAAAAAACATTTTAAAATAGTATCGGCTTCCCATCAGACCCAGCCATTAGTGTGTGACAGTCCACACTGAACACAATTATTCTCTAAACCTTCCCAGAACAAATTCCTAAAACTTTTAAGATGTTTGCCTGGTAGCATGAATTTTTATTTATTATATTGGCATTTCACAGTTGCCGTGGAGCTGGTGATATTACTGTCGAAATAACAGTAACTTAATCCATAGAACTATGTTGCCTTGGGTTTATTTCCCCCCTTACAAGGAAGGCGACTTAAAATGCCCGGCCCTGTCAACACACTCTGAGTCCTCATATTCAGTAAAATGTTGGAAGTCTGAAAAACTGTCAGGGGGTGAAAGTGATAAGGTGATTTATAATCAATTTCACTGGGAGCTGGTGGGGAAAAGCTGAGGCTGTCAGCTCTAGCTCCTCAAAACAAATGAATTCCATCCCATGCACTGGCTCAATAAGGCTATCATTCCCCATCAAGACTCATCACTGCAACTTGGCCATGGAAAGAGGAGATGCTTGGGAAGGTTTTTGGGGCGCAGGTGAGTCAGTGCTACACCTGTGCCGGGCTGCCCGCTCTAATGCGGCTCTTTGGCTGACAGTAAAGCTCATAGAGATAATTGTTTGCCTCTCAGAATGCAGCAGTGTGACCGCAACACACATTTTTCCTAATAAGATAACAAAATGACATGGTCTTTGGGTTTGACAGTACTGACTTTATTTGCTACTGGATTTTCAAGCGGAAAACAACAAGCTTGTTTGAATATGAATTAGGAAGTTGTTTGAGGTGTTTTTCCATGAATATAAGTCCTTAATAGCGGTTGTTTGTTATTTGCATTGTTTAGCGGAGCAAGATTAGAGCTAAGGTTTGAGTTATACAGTAGTCAACATTTGAAGTTTGGATCAAAAAAGTTCATCAAATTTGTCCTAAGACAAGAGCGCATTTTGGTTTTAGGACAACTTTGATGAAAGGTTTTGATCCCCTTCAGATGTTGACTAGTGTATATTTTTAATATAGGTTATATACAGTATATATATATATATATATACTGTATATAATAGAAAAACAAGTTATGCTCAGAGTCCAGAGCCTTGATCATAACATTATAACAGGCACCTTTCGTCTAATCTTAAAACAAGGCAATTTCAAACATTTTTCTCAAAACCTGAACTTAAATGTAAGATATGTTATTTAAATGTACAGTATAATATTGTGCTTTTTTTTACTCATACATCATACAAAGTTTTGTTTTAAATTAGCATTTTAACTAGCAAGGCTACATTAAATCGTTCAATATATATTTTAT